CACCAAGACAGACACAACCAAACAACCTAGCAATTGCAATACATACAGGCTTTTCCCTCGAACCATTGCTCTGATACCATAAATGTAACACCCCGTATATATCCGGCAATGTTATCATAATATCGTATTAAGCTGCGCTTAATAAAAAAAAATGCGGAATTACTTTTTCTTTTGAATTATGATGCCATTAACATTACCAGCTTGCTTAATAATCAATTAATAAAACATCGCCTGTATGTAATTGCAAATAAACAGCTAACTGAAATATCTCATAACATAGATAATAAAAGTGTGGCTCTAGTCACGGAACTACAACAACGTAGACCGGACCATCTAATAGTTTATACAACTCCAAATCAAAAGCACTAACATAATGTGTCATGGACAATCCCATGCTCACTCAAATAAGGCAACATGCCCAACATCAGTCTCAACAACATCATATCATAAATAGCGGAAAACATAAACAACATCCAAATCCAGTCATGCTAACAAATAAGCAGAAACAACAAAATTAGCTAAGCTCCGGCCTCCTGCCGCTGAGGCATCAGTACCCATACTACCTGATCCTGAAATAAGCATTCCCCAAACGTGGGGTAAGATCTCTAATCTAGAAATCTCAGTAAGTCAGTGAGTCCTCAAGGATCTTCCACCCCAAGCTCACTTACATGTGCAATATAAGTTCAAAAGCAGTTTATCATTTCAAAAACAATGCAATGCAGCAGATAATCATGTCATGTGTGTCAATACTAATCTATTGGCCAGAGACAGTGCAGGTATACGTCTATCACCTACACACCGTGCAAGTACCACTTGCATTCACCCCGGTACACCATCTTGTATGGCGCTACATACTCAGGCTTCCCGTCAAGATGAAACAACACATGCATATTAAAAGCCATTACATGTAAAGTTCAATCAACATATCAAATATCCAAAAGCATGTACGCAGCATGCATAAACCATACCCCCATGGGACATGGTGGAACCACAACATGGCTAAACCGAGGACACGAAAGCTTACCTTGCAAGCTAACTCCAAAAGCCAAGAGTCCACAGCTCAAAGTCCAAACACAGCAGATTCACAATCTGTTATGGACCAACAATACATCAACAACATGCACCACAAGCATACAATATTAAGACAACGCCTTTTCATTACGTTTTCAAGTATTAAAGCTTCTAACAAAGCCACAAGCCCTTAATCCCATGATTCTGGCTTAGTCCATTAAATACAGAAGTTCAACTTCATCAATCTAGGGTCCACAAACCCCCAATAGCCTACTGTACACACAACACAGCTACTGTTCTACGAAATCCCAGAATATCCGGATATTCCTCGGGACCATATCCGGATATGCAATATCCGGATATCTCACTGGACATATCCGGATATGCAATATCCGGATATCCAGAATCCCATATCCGGATATCTAGTATCCAGATATCCCAAAACCCCATATCCGAATACACATATCCGGATATCATATCCAGATATCCCATATCCGGATATTCCACGGGCAGATATCCGGATATTTCACGACAGAATGCAGTTTCTGCATTTTCGTGAAGATATCCTTCCAAGGTTGGGTTTTTACCGATATTAAACACCTAAACATGCATTTCTAGGTGTGTTCAACATTACCCCACAACAAGCTATCATCTTTTGACCTTAACATGCATCAAGCTTTCATTTTTAAGCATTAAACTCAAGATCAAAGGTTGGTATACATACCAAAGGCTTAAAACAGAGAAGGAGATGCTCTTGGAGCTCAACACAGCCCCTCAAGTCTGACTCAAGAAAGATGCACGAAAATGGCTTCACAAGGGTTGGTTCTTCTCACCAAAGGTCACCACTTGGACCTCCAAAATGCCATAACTATGGCTTTCAGCAACCACACCACCCAAAACCAGCACTCTCACCCACACACAGAGGATGGAAACTCAGAATACACCCTCACACTTCCTCACCATGCATGTTCTTAAGTGTAAACAAGCTCAAAGAGGGAAGAAATCAAGTAAAGGTGACAACTTGAGTTCAAAAATGGTGAAAGGAGGCAATGGAACAGTAAACCACCCTCAGCCCACCAAGTGCCTCACGTAGGAATTCTGGTATGCCTAGGGTTATGTGCTAAAATGCATATATATAGCCACTTAGCCATAAAACACACAGTATTAACTTTAATTGCTACGCTTAGCATTTTAATCCCAAACTTTGGATTATGAAACTACATAATTTTCTAAGATTTATCATATTTTTCTTACAATTTTCTGAGCACTTTTCCGGTACGCGCTTTTCCAAGCCAGTACCGGTTTCCAGCACCAGTTCTCATTATCTGGACTTGAAACTCGTTTTACAAGTCCTACATATTATTCTAGTAATTATCATGCACTTACATTAGTTTTTCCGGGATACTTTTTCGGCACGCATTTATACCGACTAGCAGAACCGGTATCTGCACTTTTCTTCCGAAAAGCGACTTTCAGCATTATTACTCACTAACTATAATTATTAAAGCCTCATAATAATGATTAGAGTCAATTATGGAATCATTTCCTATTTTCTCGTAATTTATTAATTAAATACCTTAATTAACGGTGCGGGTTCTTACAAAGACCATCCTTTTCTCACCTATCAGCGTCGTCAGCCTGCGCCTCCAGCGGATTTGACCCTTACTGACTCACCGCCTGCTGCTGTCGACTCTTCCCCTCCGAATCCTCCATCAGAGATTACTCCCATTGCCCTTCGCAAAGGTATTCAATCCACTCGTAACCCTCATCCACTTTATAGTTTCTTGAGTTATGATAGACTTTCTTCACCACATTTTACTTTTGTTTCTAGTATCTCGTCTATTTCTATTCCTAAAACCACAGATGAAGCACTCTCTCATCCGGGTTGGCGTCAAGCAATGATTGATGAAATGCAAGCACTTCACTCCAATGGCACATGGGATCTTGTTCATGCTACTCCTTGAAAGTCAGTTGTCGGTTGTCGATGGGTATTCACTGTCAAAGTTTGTCCTGATGGCACTATTGATTGCCTCAAAGCTCGTTTGGTGGCCAAGGGATACACTCAGATATTTGGTCTTGACTATGGGGATACTTTTTCTCCTGTTGCCAAGATGGCATCTGTTCGCCTATTTCTTGCACTTGCTGCCATTCATCAATGGCCTCTTCTACAACTTGATATCAAAAATGCATTCTTACATGGTGACTTGCAAGAGGAAGTATATATGGAGCAACCACCAGTTTTTGTTGCTCAGGGGGAGAGTTCTGGCATGGTATGCAAGCTTCGTAAATCTTTATATGGCCTGAAGCAGTCTCCTCGGGCCTGGTTTAGTCGCTTCAGTTCCGCTGTTCAATCCTTCGGTTTAACCCGAAGTAAAGCGGATCATTCTGTCTTCTATCGACATAGCTCTTCTGGCCAGTGCATCTCTCTTGGTCTATGTTGATGACATCATTATTACTGGCAGCGATCAAGCTAGGATTGATCAGTTAAAGAAGTACTTATTCAATCAGTTTGAGACCAAAGATCTTGGCAGACTTCAATATTTATTTCTTAGGAATCGAAGTAGCACAGTCTAGGAAGGGCATTTCCATTTGTCAAAGGAAGTATGCACTGGATATATTAGATGAGACTGGTATGTTGGGATGTAAACCCATTGATACACCTATGGATCCTAATATTAAGTTATTACCTGGACAGGGGGAGCCATTGGCAGACCCTGGTCGTTACCGCCGACTAGTTGGAAAGTTGAACTATCTTAATGTGACAAGACCAGACATCTCTTTTTCAGTTAGTGTGGCAAGTCAATTCCTTGACTCTCCTTGTGACTCTCATTGGGATGCAGTTATCAAGATTCTTCGATATATCAAAAAGGCACCAGGAAGAGGTTTATTATACACTAATAAGGGAAATGCAGAAGTGTCTAGCTATTCAGATGCTGACTGGGCAGGTTCTCCTTCAGACAGACGATCCACCTCGGGGTATTGTGTTCTCCTCGGAGGAAATTTGATCTCTTGGAAGAGTAAGAAGCAAACTGTGGTTGCCAGATCAAGTGCAGAGGCAGAATATCGGGCCATGGGAAATGCGACCTGTGAGCTCATCTGGCTAAAGCAATTGCTTAAGGAATTACATCTCTGTGAACAACGGCCCATAAAACTCATTTGTGACAATCAAGCCGCATTGCACATATCCTCTAACCCAGTCTTTCATGAGAGGACTAAACATATAGAAATTGACTGTCACTTTGTTAGAGAGAAGATTCAGTCAGGCGAGATCGAGACATCATTTGTCAATTCCAGTGATCAACTTGCAGATGTTTTCACCAAGGCTCTTAGAAGTCCCCGAATAGATCATATATGTAACAAGCTGGGTGCTTATGATATATACGCACCAGCTTGAGGGGGAGTGTTAGAAATAATATTAGTTTTATTATTATTAGTTTATTATTCTTGAAGGTTATTTGGGCTTAGCCCATTAAGTCATTTAACCTCTTTAAATAGAGGACTCTTGTATAGTTTCATACACAATTAAAAAAATAGAATTTACCTTCATATTGATCTAGTTAGACATGTTTAAATGCATAGGGCCGTAGGGGACTAAGAAAAAATTTCCATAGTCGAATTTCTATATATAAATAAAAATGTACATTTTGGTAATTGCATTTGTACGTCTAAAGTTAAGAAACCTTACTTCAAATTGTACTATTTTAATAAATTCAACCATTAGCTAATTTCTATTGCTGCTTTGTTTCCCTTCCAGATCATGATTATTGAAAGTAATGTTTCTGTAATTTAGCGTCATCTAGCATAGACAGGCCATGATCACAAATATATTTGGCACTATGTTATATAATATGCACTGGAGTAATTGGGATACTAAAAACTGGAAACAATATATGGAGCTCGTCATATTAATTGCTTAATTTGAGTAAGGATCTACTCCAGATGATACATGTATTCATTTTTTTGTGGTGTCTTATAATAAAATGCTTTAGGCAGATGGTGGAAGCACAAAGAGCAGTGGATTGGGAGATATGTTTGATTCTCATACTAATCACCTGACATCTTCTCATTCTAAGTTTCTCTGCCATTGGGATCATCTGATTGACTTAGAAGCTAAAGAGACTGAGGTGCAATTTTTAAAATTTGTGTGTTTTAGGTTTTCTCCAGAGTTTATTCTTAATTAATTTGTCATGTTTTAAAAAAGCCTTCACCTCATTTTTTCTTTATTTCTCTCCCTGTACTGTATCAGCTTTTAAAGAAAGGGGTGTGGCGATCACATAGTTTAAAGGGTCTAAACAGTGGCGGCGTTTCTTCTGTTGTTCTTGATGCTTCACAAGGAATTCCTTATCAGAAATCTCTCAAAGATAATCGTTTCATTTATCGTTTTGTACAACAAGATACTTCTTGCCTCTCTGAAGTTTCTGATGGTGATCCTTCTAGTACTTCTTTGAAAAACAATTTAGATCTCACACTTCGAAGTGGAGACTATGTGGTATGAATAATTTTCCCTTATTTTTTTTGAAATAAGTGAATCTTGTTATGTGATGTCTGCATGCTTGACAAAATCAAAGTAGTTATTTTTGGAATGTGATGTGGAGCAGCCACACCTAAAAATGCTGTAGAAGCATAGCGGATCGTGGAGTAGTTGCTATGATTAACATTGCAGACTATGGAGTTCCTAAGTATGTTTAGGAAATGGAAAGAAAAACACTGGCTGTTCCAAAATATTTATGTAATAGATGGAGAACATAGAATCAGACCATAGACAAGTAAAACAGAATGAATTTGCCGTACAGAAATACAAAGAAAAGAGAACCACAGACAAGACATTTAAAGTTGTTGTTGGAACAAGGTAGATGTTAAGAGTAATGAATTAAGCACGGGTTTAGTGGGCTTGAGGGTAATTATTTCCTTTCGTTCTATCTTGTACTACGCCGTACTACTAGCCTAGTTTACTGTATATAAAATTATAAATACATGTCCCACATCCACATTCGGTACAATTTTCTCTTAATTCACATGTTATCACGAGCTCTGTAGTTTTTCTTTCCTGCTTTCCTTTTTCCCATTTCCCCCCTTTCTCACCCATAAAAAGGAATTAACAGCAGCATCGTTCGTGACTTCGATCAAAAACCAAGCTAAGGTAGCTGCTGCTGTGGTTTGAATTGCCTTGAACTTGGTTTTCCATGAAAGGAAAAAACTCATAGAAGCTGAATGCCACTTCATTTGGGAAAAGTACAGCAGGGACTTATATCCATTGGACATGTTAGGACTGGATAACATATTGTTGACATCCTCATGAAGGCACTAAATGGAAGTAGTGTTAACTATCTATGTATCAAGTTGGGCATGATTAACAGCTATGATCCTACTTGAGGAGAATTGTTAAGAGTAGTGTATTAAGCACTTGTTTAGTGTGCTTGAGGGTAATTATGTCCATCCATTACACTATGATGAAACCCAAACAATTCAACAGTTTATTTTACTCAAACAAATGGGATACAACCCTTTACAGACACCAATGCTCGATACCACTGTGATGACACTGGCTGAAACTAACCAATGACTGCCTATTCCAAGAACTGATCGTTACAGGGCTGTCTGCAGCACCTCTAAACCCAACCCCAAAATTCTCTCAGTACATGAATACCTCCCTGCATTCCCCCCTTTTCCTCTCATGTACACTTCACCACTGTCCCCAAGGCGTTATTCCAATAAATATTAGAAATTGGTATTACACTTAATACAATCATTTTTGTGTTACTTTGCTTGTTCCTTTCCGTCAAATGGAAACTTTTAATGCCTAAGCCCGTATGTCTGTCATGCAAACATTAATGGATAGAGATTATTGCTGCCTACCTTAAAATGGACACTAATAACTGCCTTTTCTGAAACGGTTGTGTTATGCATTTTATTTCAATCACTGCTTCATATTATTATCTTTTAATTAGTAACTTTTTTTTTTTAATATATATTTTAGATACTGAGCAATGAATCTAGCCATCAAACTATTGCAAAAGGGGTGATCTCAGATGTTTGTCAGACCCATGTATCTGTGAGTATAATAATGACTGTTCCCCTTCTGTTTGATGTTTACTGATTTGAACCTAAAGTTAGTATTTTACCTCCTATAACACAGCCAAAGACAAGGTTGCTTGATTTTTGGTTGGACAGTTTTGTCTTACTGAGTTCATACTTTCAAATAATTAATTTTTAAAATTCTTCTAGGTTTCCTTCTCTAAGCGCTTACGAATTCCTGGGAGGTCTTCCACTACACATGATCTCCTTCAACAGGTTTGGAGAATTGACAAGGATGAAGTTGTGACTTCATTTGCAATTATGAGGTGCTTCTTTGACTTATGCTTTATTCAAACATTAATTTGCAAGGTGTCTCCTGTGCTGGTATTAATAATTATTTTCTGAAGGTTTAATCTTGTCCAACTTTTTCTACAAAATGATCAAACTGCTCATCTGCGGAGGATGATTGTTGACCTTGAGGTGAATTACTTGCTACATTTCTGTATGCCTTCCCCTCTCCCAAAATTACCATCTTTACTAATCACTTGCTCCTTTTCTCTGTCCTAATGGCATGCTGGCTGTAGGCTCCTAGATTTGACAGTGGATCTATAGCTAGCCAGGATCCGGCAATATCCTATGTATGGTCAGAGAAGAGTTTGAATGATGATCAACGTAGAGCAATTCTCAAGGTTTGCAATGAAGCTTAAATTTCATGAATTCATTTCCTAAATTTATTCCGCAAGTTGGTTAAGTTTATCATTAAAATGATTTTTTTATGGCTCTTCTTTGTTACCAATTGTTAGATACTTACGGCAAAAGATTATGCGCTTATATTGGGGATGCCCGGAACAGGGAAGACATCCACCATGGTTCATGCTGTGAAAGCCTTGTTGATTAGAGGCACATCCATTTTGCTGACAGCCTATACAAACTCTGCTGTTGATAATTTACTCATCAAACTAAAAGCACAGGTATTAATGCTTGCAAATTATAACATCATCATATATCATATCCATTGATTAAATTGATTACTTGTTGCATGAAAAGCATGCACGCCATTTACTTGAATTGTCCTCTGTAAAATATTCTGCTCAGGGCTGAAGACGATATGATTGATTGATAAAATATGAAAACTGAGTACAATAAATAACACTAGAGGATGGAGATAAATAATAAATAACAACTATTCTGCAGTCATTTACTTCTATTCTAATTTTACTTGTATGCCATAATTCTTTTCTGTTAGAGATATAATATAAAATCATTCATGTGTCTTCATCTAATAACTTAAGCTTTTGTAAGAGTTGGTTCATGATATGATATCAGAGCTTTTATGATCAAGTGGTCTACAGATTGATCTTGGCCTTCATGATATGTTAAGTCAAGGAAAAACGAGAGACTTTGATGAAATCCTTGTGTCTCAACTACATAACGGGATAATTACCATAAGTACTTCATCCTGACTACCCTATTTACATAATTAGCAAGATACTATTTATATAAGCCTTTGGTCACACTAAAATCATTCATGTATCTTCAGTAATAACTCAAGCTTTTGTAATAGTTGATTCGTGATATGATGTTAGAGCCTTTATGATCAAGTAGTCTACAGTTTGATGCTTGCCTTCATGATATGTTGAGTCAGGAGAAAACAAGAGACATTAATGAAATCCTTGTGTCTCAAGTTCTCAACTACACAATGGGATCTGGATAATAAGTACATATACCACTAATATCCTAATTATTATAATTACTTGATTCTAACTACCCTATTTACACGATTAGCAAAAACTGTCATATGCTGGAAGTCGCTTGTGCCAATATGTTCATCACAATTGTTCCTAAATGTTTATGGGGAGAAGCTGTTTTGACAACATCTAATGTGATAAATAGTTTACCCTCCAATATTCTTAATTTCCTAGTACCTCTTAGTGTGCTTCTCGAGTTCTTTCCGAAAAGCAGATTGTTCACCTCCTTCCCACCCCTTGAATTTATAAGGATTTGGGTAAGGAAGGAAGAAGAGAGAATTGAAAGACTGAATAACAAGAAATTAATATTAATTTGATATGAAGGATATATATAATACTAATGGTAGACTTATATTCCTAATTAAATAAAGAAACAAATCATTAAGTATAAGGAAATATGGATATCAATCCTAAGATATATCTAAGATACTCTAAATGATTTTAAAGATATAGTTGAAAAAAGAGATGGTCTTATTGATAAAATTGTGTATTACATCTGTACAATTGCTCTCTATTTAAAGAGACTAAATAACCTAATGGGCTAAGCCCAAAGAAGATTCTAGAATAAAAATAAATAAACAAATACTATTATTTACAACACTCCCCCTCAAGCTGAGGAATAGATATTTATCATTCCCAGCTTGCTAGTAAGCTCTTGAAACCTTTCTGAGGGAAGTCCCTTTGTTAGAATATCAGCTAATTGACGTCCAGAAGGGATGTATGGAGTGGTGATCAACCCGCTATCAAGCTTCTCTTTGATAAAATGGCGGTCGACCTCAATGTGCTTAGTCCGATCATGTTGAACTGGATTATGAGCTATACAAATGGCGGACTTATTATCACAAAATAACTTCATAGGTCCTTCACATCTTATTTTAAGATCACCAAGTATAATTCTCAACCACAATAGTTCACAAACGCCTTGAGCCATAGCTCGAAATTCAGCCTCAGCACTCGATCTGGCAACCACGTCGTGCTTCTTACTCCTCCATGTCACTAGGTTACCACAAAGAAACATACAATAACCAGTTGTAGATCGACGATCAGTTACGGATCCAGCATAATCAGCATCAGTATAAACTTCTAAAGAGAGATTGCCATTACGCCGGAACAACAGTCCTTTACCAGGAGTGCCTTTAAGATATTGAAGAATTCTCTCCATTGCCTGCATGTGTTTTTCTTTTGGATTATACATGAACTGACTTACAACACTGACAACATAAGCAAGATCTGGTCTAGTATGAGCCAAATATATCAGTCTCCCAACTAACCGCTGATATTGCCCTTTATCAACTGGAGGACTCTCCTCTTCATAACCCATCTTGTGATTCTGCTCAATAGGAGTACTAGAGGGTTTACACCCAAGTTTTCCCGCTTCTTTAAGAAGATCAAAGACATATTTCCTCTGGCTGATAAAAATTCCTTCCTTTGAATGAGCTACCTCTATCCCTAGGAAATATTTCAATCTCCCAAGATCTTTAATTTCAAACTCAGAGGCTAGCCGTGCTTGTAGAAAATGTTTCTCAGCAATATCATCACCTGTTATAATAATATCATCAACATATACAAGGAGTACAGTTAGCTTCCCATTTTGGGAGTGCTTGAAGAATAGTGTGTGATCTCTTTGACTCTGTTTATATCCTAAGGTCAGCATAACCTTAGTAAATCTCCCAAACCAGGCACAAGGAGACTGTTTCAAACCATATAAAGCCTTTTTTAACCTGCAAACTTTATTTCCTCCATCCATAGAGCCAAAGCCAGGTGGGATTTCCATGTAGACTTCTTCTTCTAACTCACCATTAAGGAAAGCATTCTTCACATCAAATTGATTCATATCCCAGTTGTAATGGGCAGCAAGGGACAACAAAGCTCTCACAGTATTCATCTTTGCAACTGGGGCAAAAGTTTCTTCATAATCAATGCCATAGGTCTGAGTGTAACCCTTGGCAACTAACCGAGCCTTATATCTCTCAAGAGTACCATCAGAATTATATTTCAAGGTATAAACCCATCTGCACCCTACTGCTTTCTTTCTATCAGGTCTATCAACAACCTCCCATGTTTTATTTTTCTCCAAGGCATTCATCTCATCTTGCATGGCTCGAGTCTAATTCTCATCTTTTAATGCTTCATGTACTGATTTTGGGATTGAGATAGAATCTAGTGCTGAAATAAAGCTTTTGTGCTGCACGGAAAGGTTAGTAGAAGAGACAAAATGAGAGATAGGGTGTTGGGTACAAGATCTTTTCCCTTTTCTTAAGGCAATAGGTAAGTCATCAGAGGTACTGGGTAAGCTATCAGAAGCAACGAGAAAGTCATTAGATGCAACAATATTAGGTTCAGAAACAGGAGAAGTAATAATATTAGAATCAGAAACAAGAGGGTTGGGTATTCAACCTCCCTTCCTTCTTATGTTTTTAAACAATGTACATCCAACTTGTCGTTTGTGTAATTACTCCAGAGCGGCAAGAAACCAAAAGTATCTTTTATTTTTCAAGTAGAAGAGTTGTATCTTCATAACTTAAGCGTTGGCAAATGTCTATGCTAGGTGTAAGAGGAAGAACAAATAAATTCGGATCTTATGGTCACATTTGCGTTCCTTGTCATGTCTGAAGCAAGGAGACCTCTTGAATAATGTCTTATTCAAGAGACACATACTCAGCTACTGTACAATCCTTTCTGCCATGTTTACTACTTGGCCAAGTGTAGGAAAAATAGATATAAATTAATACCTAGCTAAGCATAATGGAACAAATACAACTGCAATTAAACTGACGAAGAGAAAGAGAATAGTATTATGATACGAATCTCACCCCAAAAGTTAGCTTAAGAGGTAGAAGAACCCAAAATCAATATAAACACCACATTAGTCACCCATATAACCAATGTGGGACTCCAAGTCCCATACCTTGGAGTAGGATTGTAACATTCCATCACGCTCCGCAGCCCTGGCTGGCTTTGCACTAGTCTTTTACTATCCTTGGGCGAACACTGCAATGCCAGCGTCACCACCCGCACCGCTCTATTGCAACTGGGAGACATAGTGGAAGGTTCTGATACCAATTGATAGGAACTGGATCAGAAATGAAATTAAGAAAAAGGAACAAGAATGTTTTGGCAAGAAGCTTCTGGATTTTCTGTATTAATGAAAGATTCAAGAAACAAGTACAGTGCTACAATAATAGAAACTTTCAGCTACTCAAAGGAAACAACAGAAATGACAATTGCAGAGAAAGGTAATTTCAGTACATTCGAGAGGTACTGACTCTCCCAATCCCAAGTCCAATATTTCCCAAGCTGCCTTTGCACACTTCACATTTCCCCTCTTGTACTCAGCCTAACCTCCTAAAATATTCTAAAGTTAGTTATGTCACCACATTGGTGGAGCATAATCCCCTACAACCCACCTTACATACATACACCTACATGAGTATATATATTCCTATCATATTGCTGGAAATGCAACTCATGAAGATAATTGGAATGATAATCAGCCTGAAGAGCTAGTTGGAGTGTTGCATGACCAAAGAAGAAGAAACTTTGATGGAATGATCATCTGCGTAAATTTCTTGGCAAACAATTATGCACAACAAGAACTAAAATTGTTCTCCAAGTTCATCAATAAATAACATTTGGAAGCTTCTAACCATGAGAAAACTAAGGAGACCCAAAAAGAAAAAAAAGAAATTGAAATTAAGGTTTGTGTGCATCACATCAAATAGAGAATTCATCACTGGCATGACTCATCAGTAATGCAGGAGAAATCTACGTCAGTATGATTCACAATCGGAGATGCATAAATCATTTTCAGTTTATCACTAGTTCATCACTGAATGACTAAACTTTTCTTCCTCGTACTCAAGCACTTGTTGGTTTGGCTGTCCTAACTTTACCTCTATCCTAATTTTTAAAGAATTGTTGGTATCGCTGTATCATATAAGTGTCATATCAAATTCCCCGCATCCCTGCATTGTTGCATAGACTAAATCGATTTGATCATTGTCTTGCATGGAATACTGAATTTTCTTTGTTGATGCGGGCCAGTTTACTATAATATATCATAGTACCTTATATTGTTAAATTTCTAGTTTTTACAATTCATGTTGCATATCATTGCAATATAAATGGATGCAGGGCATTGATTTTTTACGTATTGGAAGACATGAAGCAGTGAATGAGGAGGTCAGAGGACACTGCCTCTCAGGTTTGCCAATTTCTTGCTTGTACTCTCCCTTTTAATTTGTCATAATATTTGTATTAAATCTTTTGACAGAAGTTTCTTTCTCAGCAACAAATGTACGGAGCGTTGAAGATATCAAAAGAAGGTTAGAGCAAGTCAAAGTTGTTGCATTTACTTGTCTGGGCATTTCCAGTCCCTTGCTTGCCAACATGAGATTTGATGTATGCATTATGGATGAAGCTGGACAGACAACTCTACCAGTATGTTTCTTATCCTTTTAATATATTTTACAGGACATATGTTATACTCATTATGGACATATGTAGATACACTAATATGAAATTGGTATTCAAAGCTGAAAATCTTATGGCATCAACACCAATATTCAGTCTTTGCTACTGATATATAAACTGTGGAAAAACAGTCAATTTAGATCTCTGCATTCATATATTTTCAGGAATCAGAAAGCTACAATGTAAGGTCATTGGCCACACATTACTTTGGCCAACCAAATCCCATAGTGATTGGGTATTAAAACGAAATCACCCGATCTTGAGTGAACACAAAATAGGTCTAATCAGATGATGGAACCTAGAAAAAGACACTACTAAATTCATTAATAATGGAGGCATAGCCTCTTTTTACATACACTAATACAATATAAAATGCAGAAAATAAGCACCAAAAGATCTCACTCACTCTCAAGCCAAAATACCTAGTCCAAAGAGATCCCAAGAGATCCTTTCCCAAAACCCCACTCCAAATATTCTGAATACATGCCCCCTCACCTACCACACTGCCTACCTTTTATCCTATATTTTAGGAATATTCTAGAATAATTCTATAACAAACTAACTAATTCACTACTTTTAGGCCCATGACCCATCAATACTCCCCCTTTAAAATTCACCTTGTCCTCAAGGTGAGTGAAGAGTACAAGTCGTGTGAGAGAATTTCCACCTGGGACCCATTGTTTGAAGCACCTTGACCACATTGGCAGATTTAATTTCTCACCCCTTAACTTGGCAAGACCTTCCCCTTCCTTTTGTGCTAAGACCATTGTGTTAGCTTTAAAACTTGTATTGGCAACCCCAACGTCACAACCCTCCTTTTCACCTTTCTCCCTAGCTTGAGGCTCAGTCAATCCAACCATGCTGATTACAGGATGAGTGAAACAGGCAGCTGGTATGATTAAATGGTTCAGCACTTGATCTCTTCCAATGACTTGTTCAACCACTGAATTTCCTTGTGCGCTGGCATCATGTGCAAGCTTCATCTTGCCATTGGTATCACCAAAACAATATAAACGAGGCATCATATTTAGATTCCCATTTGCATCAATTACTTGCATGAGCTCATCCATAGGAACAAAACCACGCTGTGTTACAACATTAGTATTCTCCAATCCGAGACCTTGTGGGAATGGAGCCCTTCTAGTTGCTATCAGTGCAGCATCCCCCATACCGAGGACGCTCAACCAAAGAGTTTCATTGTTCTCCATGACTTTACTTTCGCAGAGCTGCCCTCTCCCTTTAAGCTCCAGGGTGCAGATTCCCACCAACATGGCATGGATGTGCTGGCTATGGGAGACCTGGTTTGTTGAAGAAGGTGCCTCACATTCAAAGTATAAATCTCTTCGACCTTTGTCAATAAGCTCCTCCGGCAGCAACCCTCTGAAGCGTGCTCCACTATTAGCGTTAGGGCTGCTATTTCTATCTCTCTTATTGGAATGCAACTACAGACCCTTTTGTTTGAAGGGTTTCAATCACACCAAGACCATTTGATGTGCTAATATTAGTTAGGACCCCATTTGCTGTGCTAATATTGTTTGGGCCTAAGCTGGTTGGCCTATTACGGGTTTCCTGAATGTTGGGCCTGTTTATCGAATTTTCCTCTTGGTCTATCACATTGGTCTTTGAAGGTTGCCCAATTGAAGATCCATTATTTCCCTTTCCTCCTAGCCCAATTGTTTTACTTAGGCCCATTTTCCTTAGCACTTTGTGTGCTAAATAATTAACCAGAGAGGGCCACATATCAGAATGGGTATTGGTCCCATATGACAAAGCTGATCGTGATGGATATTCAACTCCAGCCCCATATTCGCTTTGGTCTGGTGCAGCTCCACACCTTTCCAGCCCCACATCATGTTCCTCCATCTTTTGCATCGATCTCATCTCTTTCCGCAAATCTGCCACTGCATGCAAGTGCATTTCTACCTCAACATCTTCTTGTTCCTCGTGATCTTCTTCATCGTCTTGCACTTCTTCTTCTTCTTCATTTTCTGCAATTTTCCTTCCTTTGTCTTTTCATTGGATTCTTCTTCTTCTTCTGCATCGTCTTCTTGTTGTTCTTTGTCAGCCTCTACTTTTTTTTTTGTACGTCACTGTTTCCTTATCTTCTTCGCTGATTGGTTTTTCTGCTTCGCGATCTGGTTCTTCATCTTTGCGTCGTTCTTCTTCGTTTACCACACAAATCTCAGGTAGATATTTAATTATAAATGCTTTGGTAAAATCCCACAATTTTGCATTAGGATTGTTAAGATTCCAAAGCCTAGACCAGTAGAACGCACATCCTTTAAGCCCCTTCAGAGTTTCTGCCAATTGTTCATCTTTTTCCTTTATTTGTTTTTCTTGAAAATGTTGATCCATAGCATTTTGCCATCCCCAAGCATCGTCTCTTTCTCCATAAAATGTTGGAACCATTGTATCAGATCTGGATCTGTTGCTCGATTTTTTTTTTCCTTTTTTTTGTTGGATCTGGACCAGAAAGCACCCCTAGATCGAAAGTGCTCTCATACCAAGTTGATGGAACCCAGAAAAAGACACTACTAAATTCATTAACAATGGAGGTATAGCCTCTTTTTATATACACTAATACAAAATAAAATGCAGAAAATAAACACCAAAAGACCTCACTCACTCTCAAGCCAAAATACCTAGGCCAAAGAGATCCCAAGAGATCATTTTCCAAAACCCCCCTCACCTACCACACTGCCTACCTATTATCCTATATTTTAGGAATATTCTAGAATAATTCTATAACAAACTAACTAATTCACTACTTTTAGGCCCATGGCCCATCATCAGACTAAACATGGAAGCAAAATAGAGAGGATAAAACTAATATTTGAATACTGGTGCTCACACAGAGAAATACACTTGACTAATATGTTAGAGTATAAGTTGAATTGGTTCTTTACAAACAAACCAATGGAGACATAATATAATTCAATAAGGCTTGAGTTGTTCTTCTCCTATCCCAATTGTTGTCATCTTATCAAAGTTTAACATTGGCAAGTAAAAAGTTAGATGTAATTCCTTGAGGAGCTTCCATATCCACATTATTTCACATTTTCCAAGTGCTAGAGCATGGAATTCTACCTTTGGACTACTCGCAACCACGAATTGTTATCCGTGTCTCAAAGTTATTAAGTTTCCCCATACAAAAGTGCACTAGTCCGTAGTACACCTCATATAAACCACTAAATCGGCCTAGTCGACATTTGACTTGCAAAATGAAAGTCAAAATAATCCCTTACCAAAGGTTATTTTAAAATACCTAAATATTTTGTGCATTACCTCTAAATGCTTCTCGTACAATTTGTTCATGAATTGACTTGCACCACCAACTAAAAACCCGATATCCTGATGCCCATGAATTAGGTATATCAACTTCCTCACAAGCCTTTGATATCTCTCATTGTCAATATGGAAATTTCTTCTTTGAGATTGTTATGCAACCACCAATCTCGAGGGTGTACCATAGGCGTAACCCCAAGGGATCTAATGGAGAGGGGGAATAGATTTTTAGTGGAAAAGGTTGCTTAAAGGAGAGAGAAGGGAGATTGTGAGGGATAACTTGTTAATGGATGAAAGTATAGGAGAGATCAAAGCCTCTCAAATGTTTTGAAACTATCCTTTTATTTTCGTTTTCATCAGTTTATTTGTTCCATATTCCATTTTGGCATCACTCTGATACCAGAATACAATGATCAATATTATTGATCCTGGTATCATAGCTTCTTATCAGAGAGTTATGAATGGTCATCATGCGAACCATCAAAAAGACCCTCACCCAACAGTTTAAGTTTTTGGGTTGAATTGGTTCTTTACATGGTATCAGAGCCTCAGTGTCACAGGTTCGATCCTCACCGCCCCCTATTTAACTAATAATTAATTAAGTCTTGTGGAGTTTCTTAGCACAGGTAGGTGGGCCTGTGCATTGTCCAACCTTTAAGCCCAGTGGGCTCTCGTGTGAGGGGACGTGTTAAAAAATAGTATAAACCATTAAAAAAACTATCACCTAACAGCTTAAGTTTTTGGGTTGAATTGGTTCTTTACAATGATGCATGCTCAATTTGTAACGTTAGAGAAAAGGTTGACATAGTGGATTGCAGCGAGAGAAGGTCGGTTCCGCATAGTTGAGGAACGTCGGGAGGATCTCTTACAACTCCGAGGAGCGATTTTGAACGAAACTCACCGAGAGATAGACGATAAGACTGATAGGAATCCAGAGAATGAGACACCTGGAGAATTGAATGGGAATGAGGAAACAAATGGAAGATTTGAAAGGATTCTTGAAACAAGGGATGATCGGGGACGCTATTTGGAGTTACCCATCTTCAACGAAGATGACACATACAGGTTACCCATCTTCGATGAACATATTAGTGATGTTAGAGATATATAAAAACCATTAATGTAGCCTCACTCAACAGCTTAAACTTTTGGGTTGAATTGGTTCTTTACATGGTGTCAGAGCCTCAGTGTCCTGGGTTCGATCCTCGTCGCCCTCCATTTTCTTTATGAAATTTTTTAGCACAGGTAGGCTGAGCCTGATGCATCATCCACCTTTCAAGCCTAATGGGCTCCCTTGTGAAGGGGCGTGTTAGAGATATATAAAAATAATTAATATAGCCTCTCCCAACAGCTTGAGCTTTTGGGTTCAATTGATTCTTTACAAGTGAATAGAAGTGACTATTGGCGGTGATATTGGCATTGGAAGGCATAACACTCAATTGGCATCAATTGTACGAAAGCTGCACCAGAGACGCAAATTGGGCCATGTTTCGAGATATAATATTGCACAAGGTCCAACACTCCATGGCTCAAAACTCATACGAGGTATTTCTCAACTTTTGTTAAACGAGTTTGGCTGCAGAGTACGAAGAGAAATTTGAGCGAGAGCCTGGACCCATTTGCCATGTTGACGAGGAGATGCTCCATGGTGTATGGTTGAATGACCTTCGCAACTGCTGAGTTGAAGTTGCACCATGTCAAAGCTCTAGTGAATTTTATGTACCTAGCACAATTGGTCAAGGAAAAGAACGTCACGAGCAAAAGAGGAAGATCAAGATGAACTTTCTAGTGGAATTGGTTGTGGTCAACTCCTCGGAACAGCCCACTACAGGAGGATTTGGTTGGTGGCCCTATAAGATGAATAATTGATCGAGAATTAGCTCATTGACCTGTAACAAGATGAAGAGTGGATTATGCTTCAATTGTGAAGAAAAATTTCAACCTAGGCATGTGTGCTAGAACAAGCAGTTCCACTTATTATTTGTGGAGAGGATGAAAGCGATGGAGACTCAGCTGAGGGAAATCCAGACGAAAGGGAGCTGGAGGACAAAGCTTTCTGACTTTCGCTTTATAGTTTGATGGGGCTGACCTCCAATCATAATCTATGGCACAGCTTTGGGGAAATAGGAATTCTACTCCCATGGATTAACTTCTTTACCACCATCCATCCTAGTAAATGTGAGAATCCTTGCCTATTTCACACTGCATATAAGTGCTGAATTGCTCATACATCTTGTAGCTTATTTAGTGTTGTACTTGAGCCATACAGTGTGTTATGATCTAGCATTAATACTATTGTATCATTGATCAATATAATGAAGATTTGACAAAGTGCATGTTTGTTGCTGACTGCCTAACACAACCTTCCTTATTTATCCGGATATGTAAAATAGTAAGAATTAAGAAAAAGAAATCAATTATTCATTTGTACGTAATTATGTTGCAAATATTTCCATTGCAGGTGTCCTTGGGCCCTCTAACATTTGCTTCGATGTTTGTACTTGTTGGGGATCATTATCAACTCCCCCCAATTGTCCAGGTATGCCTCTTAACTATTCGTCACATTAAATAAGGTATTCCTATACTTACTGTTTTGTTAGAATTAGTTAGAATTGTTAGTGTAGCATTTGAAAACAATAGGAACCTTGGAAAATACTTTCATATTGTTTAATTGGTATTGTAAATATATATATATATATATACATAGGATAGGGATCTCTTGACTCTGGTGTAAGACTTAGAAGTCTTATTCTCCATCTCAACCGTTGATTTCCGTCCATCTAACGGTTATAGTTTATTGAGTTATACAAATTAATTAATTATTAATTTCAAATAAACTATAACCATTAAATGGGTGGAAATCAATGGCTGAGATGAGTAGTAAGACTTCTAAATTTTACACCGGAGTCAAAAGATCCCTCCCCATATATATATATATATGGGAACCGTCTTATCTAAGAAAATTATTGAGCTAGGTCCATATATTTTAATTAAACTGTACAATTTGGATGATTCGTAAATAATATTAAGTGGATACAACTTTCACTGATATTTCCGTATTTGAAATTTTGTACCTGACAATTCATAGAGTACAGAGGCCCGAGAAAATGGCATGGGGATAAGTTTGTTTTGTAGGCTCTCAGAAGCACATCCTCAGGCAATTTCAGCTTTACAGAGTCAAGTATGCTGCAGCCACTACACATTAGATTTCAAACTTTGGTTTTTCTTTTTTCTTCATTCTCTATCATCGTCACTTACTAAGTTAAAATATATACAGTACCGCATGTGTCAGGGGATTATGGATTTGTCAAATGCCTTGATATATGGTGACAGATTGAGGTGTGGTTCATCTGAGGTAGCTAATGCAAAACTAGAGTTTTCTGGATTAAACTGTGGTTTGTCTTGGCTAGAAGATGTAAGGCTATTCTTTTTCAAATTCTCATTATCTTATCTGTGGAGGATTTGCATTTATTGCTGTATTTTGTCTATTAATAGGAGCTTCTTCTCATTGATGACTGGATTAATTTTATTTATTTTTTGTAGCACCTTTATCCTAAACTAGTTGACCACGGACCCCAACTAGTTTGGATTAAAGGTGATGTTGATATTAGATGCTTTTTGTTTCACTTTTCTTTGTCTGCTTAATTATGCTATATTTCTTATGCAGCTGCTTCTTTGTTAGACCTTTTCCCCATCCTTTTTTTACTCCATTCTTATTGGATGAGTACTGGCTACTGTGGTATGCAAATAAAACTCATGAAATCCATTGTCTAGCTTAGTTGGTGTTATCTTGGGTCAAGACTCAAGATGCATGGCTATGCACCAACTAGTTACAGACTTGTCAAAGTGAGTTAAGTCATATATTGACTGTAGTTCCACTTACTTGATACTTTTGTCTGTGATACAACCTGATCAGATAATAGAGATAGAAAAGAACACAAGGAAGCTTTTGGCCCAGAATCAATTCTGGATTTTTCTGTATATTGGTTAAGAAAAAGAACTACAAGTTGCCGAGATACAGAAATAAGAAGAAAAAACTCAGCAATGGCTACTGCTACGAACCAAAGGAAATTATTATTCAACATACTCAAGAGGTGTTGAGATCTCCCATCCAAAGTTTCCAAATTCCAGCCTGCTTCTTTTGAAAATAACCTCTCTGTTTATGCTAATGTGTGATGTGTGTTCACTTGTCCTCCGTCTCATTTCCTCTAACATAGTTGCTAACAAAATTGCCCTTCCAAATATTCCTTCCATTCACCGTAACGGCCTTTATGGTGACACAACAACTAAATTGATTTCAACATTAGCCCCACTCTTCTACCATATACTCTAAATGGAGGTATCGTATCAATACTTCCCCCCAAAGTTTCACCTTGTCCCCATGGTGATGATCAACCCATGAAAACCTTGACTTAAGAGTCCCGCAATGATGATCGACCTTTATAACCCTTCAAGGAAGGAGGAAGAGTCTCCTCAATCTCAACCTTTTTCTAGGGGGAAATGCCCTCGCCTGTTAATCACCATTCTCTAGTACTAATCGACCTGGAAGACCTACGCCTAGGAAACGGTCTAGGTTATGGGCTCGTGGAGTCTGACCTTTCAGCCATTCTAAAAAATGCAGAAAAAGAGTGTTCATCAGACATTTTCTCAAACGGTTAGAAAACTCTTCACAAAACACAAAACCAGAAACACAAAATGCCTAGGAAGAACGAACTTCTCAACAAGAATGCAAATGAAAACACAAAACTTCAAACACTCAGATATTCAGAAGATTTCCAGAAATGCAAGCGAATGAAGGAAAAAGAAGAAGAAAATACTTGGTATTTATAGTCGAATTATGCTAAAGTGCAGTAGAGTTCTTCACAGGAAACACTGTAAGCAGCTTACTTGCAAACATGTAACGAAAGGCAACACGTAACGTTCCCTCCAAAACCCTGAAGTTTAACTTACGAAAAGTAACCAAAGGGTATATGCATAAAAGCACACCAAAGTGAAATAGTTTTACAGCAAAGTGTGACACGTGTCAGCAGAAGACCAAAGGGTTAATACATTAACCCACACGTAATAAAGGCTGCATTTTATGCTTCTAACAAGTTAAAATCTTATCAGCCATTTCTTAAGCGGCGAAATGATGGATTACCAAAACCCTCTCAAGTGCAAATGTTAAGAATACGTGGCGATATCTCGCCACAAATCAACATCTCTCATAAACAGTGCATCTTGCATGAAGAATACATCTCGCTCCTCATGCCTACAGCATAAGCAGCAAGCTGGGGGATTTATGATCTGGACCTATTACATGCGAGATAAATGCTCAATCCCTTAAAGGCTCAAGAGCCCCGAAACCCCCAGTGACTTAGCCATCAAGGCAAACTCAAACACGTTTTGAAATGTAGGGACTCTCTTACATGCGAAAGATAATATCTTCCATTGGAATCCCATTACTCTTTTGCAACTGGCTACATGAAGAAATCTAAAGTTTGAATAATGATCTTTTCAACCAAATCTCGAGTTCCATGATCTTGTAAACTTTTTTTGAAGTCGATCCATCGGCTAGTGCGGGCGATAATGGTCTCCCCTTTGGCATAACACGTGACGATCGTTGTACCTATCTTTTCCCCTTTTTGAGATCGTCCTCCCGCTTCTTGATTTTGAGCTTCTTGTCAATCTCGTCCTCGATGGGAAGGTTATGGCAGTCCTAATTTTGAGCTTTTGATGTGGCGGCTGGTCATGGAGTGGCAACGAGTGATGTCCTTGAAGGAATCAGAAAATATATGGCTATAGTGTGGAAGCCTAGCGAAAAAGGATGGGCTAAAGTAGAAGATGTACATGGGTATCTCACCAGCTAACGATGTCTGGAATGCATTGATTACATACATTACAAATCCATAATTTTTTGGACATTAGAAACCTTTTGGGCCTGACCCATTTGGCTGTATTCTTGTAAACTTGACCTAGCTTGTTCCTCATTCAATTGTTTACTTAGTTGCTTACGTCCATTGTTGAATTGTGATGAATCTTCCCCCCTCTAATTTGCATCAATTTTCTTCCTCCTTGGTTGCAATGCACAACACCCTGCACCCCTGCAAGAAGAATTAAATCTGGCGGATCTGGTGATGGAGGTGGGTCAACAACCACCGCTAGTGGTGATGTGACTGGTTCTCCCACATTACGACTTCCTTTGATTGCCAAATTTTTCACCTTTCGTCACGATCACTTCTTCCTCGTGCTTTGTCATTGCCAAATCGAGTGGCTGATTTTTGTCTATTGCCATGGATTCCCCTTTGTTGCCCCCCTTTTGGGGTTTCGACAGCCTCCGTGTCATTCTCTTGTTTCTCTCCAATGGTCTCTGTTTCATGCCAACTGAACACACGTCCTCTAAGCCCCTTAACAGCCTTTGTCAACTTCTCATCGTCAAGAATTCTTTTTGACTGGAAATATTTTTCCAGATAGATTAGCCATCCCTAAGCTTCATCGTCTTCTCCATAGAACTCGGGGACTTCCCTTCCAGGTCTCAGGCGATCCTTTAAGTGTTGCAGAGCTTTATCCAGGCCCAACAATTTTTTTTTTCTTTCTTTTTAAATCATCTTCTGAATTCTCTCTTCTTAGTGTGGCCATGGTTCACAGAGCTCCTAGATCGGAAGCTTTGATACCAATTAGTTAAGTTCCATCACTGAATTCATAAACATTGAACAATAATGAACTATTGAATTGTATTATAAACCAAAATCTCCTCAAATTTACAATATAGTTAAGTATCGGTTACAACATAAAATTGGAAAAGATTACAATAAAAAGAACAATGGAAAGGAAATTTGCAGAATAACCCAAGATAGGTTTAGAGCAATTGGAGAACCTTGAGGCTCTGTTTGATTACTGTTTTTAAATGCAGTTTTTTAGTTTTCAGAACAAAAAAACAAAAAAACTCATTTGGTAAGGCCTGTTTTGTAAAAAAAATAATTAAAAAATTGTAACTATTTTTTTGTTTTCAGAATCTAATTTAGAGAACTCTAAGTTGTTTTTGTTTTCTGTTTTGGTTTTTAACTTTCAAAACAAAAAAAACATAGAAAACAACTGTTTTCATAATTATTCTACAAAACAATTTTAAGAACAAAAAAATCAAAACACAATCAAACAGGCCTTTAATCTCTCGCAAAACCAAGTGTTAACTTCCCAAGATGATTCCGTAATGATCCACCCTTTGCTATTAGTAACCAACCTCCTGTGATGCCATCCGTGTGACTTTAACCACTTGATTTCCCTCTAACCAATTGATGCTGACTTAGCAATTATTAGTGGGGCTGTAATCCCTTACTTTTCTTCCCCTTATATACCCTTTCAGATTTATTTATCGGCACAACCGTATCATCCATCCTTAATTGTGTGTTTGATTGTTTGTGATCTATCAACCGATATCAAAGCTCTCGATTTGGGAAGTTTGAATGGTCAACACAAGGGCAAGATGGATACTCACTCAAACTCGTTGGAAAACAGATTCTGACAATGACAACTGCTAAAAATATAAAAATAATAAAAAATATATGTGCCTTCATCTAATAGCTTAAGTTTTTGGGAGAATTGGTTGCTTGACAAGGCACATGAATGGTTCTTATATTACATTTCTAGCGCAAACCCTCATGCAAGAGCTCCACAAGCTCACGTATCATGTGTTAGGAAGATTTTCCACAATATTTATCAGAAGAATGGGCACAATAAGGATGGAATTCTATACTACTTGGTCATAGAGGTTCTGATACCACTGCAGGTGAGTCTAGAGAAAGCTTATGGAGAGGAGACCATCACCAATGAGCTAAACAACAATTGACCACAATAAGTGAATTCAACATCTCAACTTAAAACCTTAAGGTATTGGGTTCATGGGTTCTTCTATTTATATGATCAATGCGAGACTTCACGACTCATAAATTCCCAACAATTTCCCATCAAGCGGCAACTTTTTTGAGCATTCATGGGGTTACCAAGAAGAATTTGACAAGTCTTGTCTCTATAACATAGGTCCGGAGGCATATTCTTAAACACCAGCCACCATCTACAAATACTTTCCTGAGCCATTGACTAGGTTGGCCTAGCCAATTGCCATTGTCTCTAATATTATTGTTACGTGGCCAAAGCATCAAAACTAACGAATTTTATTTATTTTCCTGGAATAGAAACTAGTAGCCACTGAGTTACCTACATGCAATGAATAGGATTCTCCATCACCTTAAGACCATCAAACAGAGGACTATTATTTCTGAAAGAAGGAAAATTTTCTTTTGAGGTGTATACTAACGCAAAACCTGACCTAAAAGCTTGCAGGCTAGCTTTTTAATTTTTAATAAAATAATATATTTATGAAGGCTGCCAAAAGAAAAGCAAAAGCTCCTAAAAAATTGTTTGAATCCCATAACAAGA